TCGGGAGACCAGGAGGAGAGTCCAGCAGAGAAGCGATGAGGTCCTGGCTCCCGCCATGGCATTGAGAGGGGAGAGGAGGAACAGGACCCACAGGAAGGTCAACAGGCCAGGTGTGGGGTAAGAGGGACAGGGAGGAGGCCAGGCCAAATCCAGGTATCCAGACTTCATTCACCAGGACAGAAGAAGAGAGTTTCAGGAGAAAACTTGAGGGAGCTCAGCTGGGAGTATATTGAGTTTGGGATATATGAGGTATCAGGGGGATATGGGAATCTGAGCAAAAGGACTATGAGTTGCTGCCCAAAGTCATACAGTCAATGTCACCTCTGAGTCTAGAATGCAGACCTGTCCCCCTTGCGTCCCCAATCTGTGCTCTTTCCTCCTACCTCTCTTCAGGTCTCTTGACACACTCTTCCCACTCCAGCCTCCGTGCCTTTCCTCCTGCTATTCCCCTGCCCAGAACCCCTTTCCCTCCTCTGTACAAATCTCACCCATCCATCAAGTTCCAGGTGGAGGCCCACCTCAACCCAGGCAGGGGCGGGAGCAAACAGCCAGGGTGAAGGAAGGGTGGGGTTCGAAAGCGAGGTGGTGATTGTGACGCAAAGTGCAGAGACCTAATTTAGAGCCCAGCTCTGCCTCGAGCTGCTGTGTGACATGGGGCAAGTCACTCTCCCTCTCTGGGCCTCGGTTTCCTAATCTTTCAGAGGTTAAACAAGGAAAGGTGCTGTCCTCAGGGAGCTCATAGGCTAGAAAGGCCTGTGAGGTAAAACATGATCAGTGGTTTTGGACCAAAGGCATTGAGTAAACAAATGAGGGGAAAGTTGATGGAGACAGACTCAGTGGCATTTTTGCTGAACCCTGCAGAAGGGGTAACACTTTGACCAGTGGCGGTGGAGTGGCAGAGGGCACTCTAGGCAGAGAACAGCCTGGGCAAACGCTGGAGTGGGGGCAGAAAGTTCAGGGCGTGTTCAAGGAAGAATGAGTGTCCAGATTCTGGTTTCTTTCTGAGTCAACAGCTCAGGCACTTTTTGTAAGCAGGCAGTCAGAGCCTAGCAGCCTCCAGTAAACCCCTATTTGCACAATCAAGGTCACACACAAGGACATGTTTGCACAATGACCTGTTTGCACAATCTCAGCCGACTGGTGTATTCCAGCCAGAGCAGCCTCTGGTAGACAAGCACAACCTCTACTTCCTCTACTCAGCCTGACTGGCCCACCCAGGCCCTGCCAGGACCTCCCCAAGAACTGGCAGCCCCTGGGCACACCCAGCCACCCCACACATTATTGACAATAACAGAAACTGAAACCATCCAACACTCAGTAGGACTGCTGAGAACAGGGTGCCCTCCCCAGGCCCCCCTCACTGGGGTTTCCAGTTCACAGAGACTGCCCTGTCTGATGTAGGAGGAAGCAAGGGCAGGAGGGCTAGAGGAGAAAGTATCCACAAGGCAGACACTGGGTGTGAGTGGAGGACATAACTCCACATCTGTCTTCACTGCTCAGAGTAAGCATTTACTAAGCATTTACTGTGTGCCTGGCTCTGATCCACAGCCTGATCTACATTATTTCATCCTTTACTTTTGAGAATTCCATGAAGCAAATACTATTATTATACTCACTTTAAAGATGATTAAACCAAGGCTCAATGAGCTTAAACAATTTGCCCAGGGTCACAGAGCTGGTAAGTGACAAACCCAAGTAGTCTGACTCCTCAGTCCCTGCTCTTAACCTCTCTGCACAAAAAAATGTCTCTCCCCTAAGGAAAGTTTTCCTTAAATCTAACTTTCATTTCAGCTGCTGCCCCTCCATCCCCCAATGCAGGTGCTCAGTGGAGAAGGGAACACATATGAGATCAGTAAAATCCTGTTCTGAAATACTGAGTTATGCAGGAGGCGGGCAGGGGGAGAAAGGAATTTTACTGAACATCTACTAAGCACTAGGTTCTGTGCCTCCCTCCCATAGCTCATCTGACCCTCACAACACCCCTGAGTTGTGCCTGTGGCAGATAAGGAGGCTTAGACAGGATAAACAACTTCTCTAAGATTCTGCAGCCCTGTAGGTCTACCCTGAGTGTCCTCTTGTGCCCCACCCTGTGCTGAGGCTGCAAGCAGAGAAGATATCTTGATTGCCCTTCTTCATGAACTGATTGTATGTGGGGGTGTGGAAATGGGGGTGCAAGGAATGACTCCAGGGTCCCAGGGTTGGTTGAGTTGGGGGAGTGGAGATGGTGGTATAATTTACCAAGATAGGCACGTGAGGACTGGGGTCAGGTTTGATGAAGTGGCGGAATGCGTCCATTCGATCATTCATTTAGCAAATACGTACTGAGGGCCCAAATGTGACAGGCAGTGTTGTGGACGCTGAAGGCAGTTTTAAACAAAACAGACTAAAGTCCCTCCCCTTAAGGATTTCCATGCACTTCCACTGCACGGTAGTCAAAGAAGGTCTCAATGAGAAGGTAACATTGAGCAAAGATTTGTAGAAGAGGAGGCAGTGACCCATATAATTATGGGGAAGGGAGAATCCAGGCAGAAGAGACAGCAAGTGCAAAAGTCCTGAGGCAGTAGGGAGCCTAACCACCTCAAGAAACAAGGAAAACAGAATGGCAGGAACTGAATAGCAAGGAGGAGCAAATAAAGACAGGAGGGGGGTCTCCCTAGTGGCGCAAGGGGTTAAGCTCAGCACTATGAAGCTATCCGCAGCCTCTGCAGCACAAGTTCAATCCCCGGCCAGCCAGGGGGCTACCCACATGGTGCGGCAGACCTCTCCTGACTCATCTGCTGCTCCCTTCAGCAGTGTACTTTGGTCAGTCTGCCTGTTTTGCTCCCCACTCTGCCTCTAGTGAATCCTCTCACCCCCCATACCACTGGCCTGTACCCCAGTTCTTGTATGAATAAATAAATTTAAAAAAAAAGACCTCCCCAGTGGCGCAGCGGTTGAGCGCTGGGTTGCGAAGCTGCCTGCAGCCTCTGCGGCGCCGGTTTGATCCCCGGCCACGGGACGAGGGTGCCACATGGCGCGCAGACCTCTTCTGCCACCCGCTGCTCCCCTCAGCAGTGTATTTCATCAGTCTGTCTGTTCTGCGCCCCACTCTGAATTCTCTCACCCTCCTGCACTTCTGACTATAGCCAGTGCTTGTATAAATAAATAAATAAATCTTTAAAAAAAAAAAAAGGGAGGTCTCCCTGGTGGCGCAAGGGGTTAAGACACAGCCTGTGAAGCTGTCTGAAGCCTCTGCAGCACAAGTTCGATCCCCCTGCCTGCCAGGGAGCTACCAACATGGTGCAGCAGACTTCTCCTGACTCTCCCGCTGCTCACCTCAGCAGTGTATTTCAGTCAATCCAACTGTTCTGTTCTCCATTGTGTCTCTAGTGAATCCTCTCACCACCCCCCCCCACACACACACCTCTGGCCTGTACCCCAGTTCTTACATGCATGAATAAATAAATCTTTGGGGAAAAAAAAAAGACAAGAGGGGCCAGGGAGAGAATGGGATCCGTGTGTCCCCTGTGGATCATGGAGAAGGCTTTCACTTTGACTCTAAGTAAAGGGGAGCCATAGGGAGGTGGGGCAGAGGGTGTCATCAGCTGGCTTCTATTTGATAGGTATTAGCATGAACGGGGATGACCAGATGCTGAAGGGATAACGGACAAGTGGGGGACAGGAGAGCAGGGAGGAGGCCAAGGTGAGAAACAAGGGTGCTCAGTAATGGTTTAAATGACATTTCTATTTTCAACATTTTATCATGAAAACATTCAAACACAGAGCCAAATTAGACTGTAGGGCAAAATCCTGTCTACCCAGGATTGTCGTTATATTTTGCAGGAGGACTCACTGGGACTGTCTGAGGATGCGGGGCCTCCGGGCCATCTTAGAAAAGTGGCTGCAGGGCCTCTCTGGTGGCGCAGCAGTTGAGCACTGGGTTGCAAGGCTTCCTGCAGCCTCTGCAGCGCCGATTCTGTCCCTGGCTGCCGGGCAAAGGTCCCATATGGTGTGCAGACCTCTCCTGCCGCGCCCACTGCTCCCCTCAGCAGTGTACTTCATCGGTCTGCCTGTTCTGCTCTCCACTCTGGCTCTGGTGAATTCTCTCACCCTCCCGCACTTCTGACTGTACCCAGCGCTTGCATAAATAAATAAATCTTAAAAAAAAAAAGGAAAAGTGGCTGCAGACAGTTGGCTGTTTTAATCTGGAACCAGAATTGCAGCCCAGTCTGCTCCATCACACTAGACCCAGAAACCCATGTTCTCTATAAAGACTCCGATGGATAACCCACTGGTTTGTTGGTACCTAAACTTTAATTGGTCATAAATCCTTGTAAAGTATGAACAATCTGAACCCTCTTCAGAAAAAAAAAAATGTGCAGAAAATTATTTGTGAACATCAGGGAATCACGGAAGCAGATAAGAGACGCTACTCTATTTCACTCCGTCAAAAAAATGTTCAGTAAGGTAGAATTGCTGTCGGTAAGCATTAACCTCCAGTGAGCCTATGAAGACCCTGAACCTCACCAGGGCCTCTATCTGTCTTGCTCCCAGGAGCCTGGGCTGTGGGCAATAGAGGGGAGCACGTCGTGAAGAGGGGCACAGTGAGGAAGGCACTGTGTCATGAAACCCTGTAACCTATAAGATGCTCCTGAGTCCTGTGAGGATCAGGGCCCCACGCCAGTGCCAAGCCTTTGAGCTGGGGGTCTGCTCCCAGGGATGCTCCCCCAGGGCTAGGGGGCGGGGGAGACTGGGAATGGCACCCAGTCGTACTGGAGCCTGGGCCCTGCTCAGCCTCAAAGCTTTGAGGTCAGGAAATCCGGAGGCAGAGGAGGGGGACATCGTTGCCACATCCCCCAACCCCTTTAAGACCCCCAAGGCAGGAAGGCTGCCAGCCTCACCGGCTTCCCTCCAGGCTCCTTCCTGGGAGGAAGGGGCTGCCTGCGCAGCAGCAACTACAGCGCAGGGGTGGGGAGGCTGGGCAGGTGTTGCAATCCGCAGTCCCGGGTCGGAGGCGAGCCATTAACGACAGGCTGGGGAGAGAAGCCTGCTGCGGCTGTTTTCAGGAACCTTCCTCCAAGAGGAGAGCAGAGACGGGGAGGCCAGGCAGGTGCCTGGCCGGTGGCCTCCAGCGTAAGTAGGGGATCCCCAGGAAGGAGCTGAGTTTGGGTGTTGATGGGACCCTGGAGTCCCAGGTCCTCCCAGCTCTGCCAAGGGGACTCAGCCTGGGACCAAGGCTCCTGCTGTCAGGATTTGGCTCTGGAATCAGGAGCCCTGGACACAGATTTTTTTGTTTGGTTGGTTTTTGGTGGGGGATGCATCAGAGAATTCACAGACAAATATCTGAGGCACTGAGCTGGGCTGAGGGAAGGCATGATCACGATCGCTCTCCTCATCTCTGCCTCTCAGAACCTGTGTCTCCCGTCTCCGTCCCAGCCCCTCTCTGGCTTGCCTTCCTCTGACTTTCCGTCTCAGAGTCTGTCTCTCTGGGGTCCCTTTGTCTCTTCAATCCTTGCCCCTGGGGTGTCAGTACCCCCTGGGCTCCCAACCCCCTTTCCATGCTGGCCTCTGTCTCTCAGGCTCTTTCGCCCTGTTTCCTCGGTCTCTTCATGGCTCCTCCTCAGGGAACGGCTCTCCGGTTGTGTGTCTGCATGGCAGGCCACATTCTTACTCCCCCCTGCCTGTCTCTCCTTCTCTGAACCACATCTGGGTGGACAGCTCCCTGAGGTCCTCTACAGCCCCCTTCTCCCTCTGACCAGCGCAGAGAGTAGGGGAAAGAGGGTGTGCACGCCCTCTGGGAGAAGGGAGGGGGAGGACAGAAGGGGAGTGTGCTGGGGGGTGACGGTAGTGACTGAAGGGCAGCAGCATGTGCTTGGATTCAGTCAGGAGAGCAGAGTGGAGAAGGCTGAAGAGACTGGGGGGCCACGGGACTAGCAGTAAGGCCCCAGAAGTGAAGCAATTGCAGCCTGACTGAGATGGAAACCAGGAGGCAGTCCCCGGAGCTGGGCCCACCCCACCGCCTGTGTCAGGGAGGGGGTGTAGGCCACACAGGATTCCATGAGGCACTGCCCTGCTTGGGCACTTGAGGATCGCTGAGGGGCTGAGCGTCTGCAGGCGCCCTCAGTGGAGTGCTCTGATGGTGATGTCATTTCACCCTCCATCTGAGGAGTGAGCCCCATTGTTATTCCTCTTTCACAGATGGAGAAACTGAGGCTCCCAAAAGTGAAGTGATTTGTCCCAGGTCACCAAGCTGGTAAGTGGTAGAGCTGGGCCAGGTGGTCTGGGCCCCAAGCCTCTCTGCACAGTGGCCCTCAGAGAGGGAGGCCATGCTGTCAGGCTCCAGGGAAGGGGACAAGCAGAGCTCAGTCACCCAGGGCTGCCACAGGGGCCCTGGAACGGATGCCAAACATACAACCCAGAGGGAGAAGGCCTGGGGCCTCTTGGGATTCAGTTTGGTTCCCTACTCTGGACAGGAGCCAGTGGAGCGGGATCAAGTTGTACTTTGTTGGGCACAGGCTGGGCACTCTTGCTAAGGCAGCAGGACTGGGAATGATCAAAAAGGTACAGGGAGGGGAACCAGTGTCCCAAAATCTGGGCCTAAGAGGCTTAATCTTCCCCAACAATATGCATAAGAGATAATCAGACTAGTATGCTGTAATAGGAAACGTGCCAGCCACTGATTAGCAGAGCAGGGTGCTCTGAACAGTTGCACAGGTTTCTCACTGCACAAAGCTGCCTGGTTGAGAGGCAGGTAGAGGCTGGAATCCAGGCTGTTCTCCAGTTGCCAGGTCCTAATGTGGGGTGGCATCTGTCCAGGAGATGCTTGGATGCTGCTTCTTTTCTGATTCACAAAAAAAAAAAAAGTGACTTTAGATTGGCTGTCACCTGGCACCCTGATACAGCCATAAATATGGATACTGGGGCTTTGGGGAAGGCTCATCTAAGCAGGAACAGCCTTGGGTATCTGGGAAGTTCTTGTTCAACCTCCAGGCAGGGAGAGAGTGGCTTTCTCCCTCTGAGTGCAGGGGGTCAGCTGGACACCACCTACACGCAGTGTCCATGCACATACGTGCAGGCTCAGTGATTTCCACTGACCTGCAATTACTGCTGGAGGATCAGGTATCTGGTCCCAAGACCCATGGGGAGCAGAGTGGTATTAGACCCTCTGTGTGCCCCATCTGGCATCTTCTCAGCCCCCCCTTTCCCTGCACCATCGCCGTGGCAGCCAGTTTCCTCAGGTGCAGCTGACACCCCTCGCCTCAGCCGTTCTGTGGAGCCGACTCTTTCTACCAGGGAGCATTTCTGCCCCATCCAGCAGGGCTCACCAGAGAATCTGCTCGTCCTCGTGCATGTGTGACCTGGACATCCAGGGAGTTAATGCCCTACAGGACAACCCTTGACCCATAAGGGAGAGGAGTCAGAGGACAAATGCTCCTGTCCTCTCTTCCAGTCAGGGGATAAATTATCCCTTGGGTGGGCCATTGTGAGGCTTGGTCTACATGGTTCCTTGGAAGGGTCTATCAGGATCGAGTCCCAGGTGTCCACAGAGGTGACCGTCAATGAGGCACGCTTGCCTTGGTCCTCCCTCCAGGCCTGTTTCATCTTCCCCACTCCCTCACTCTGTTCTTGGGATCTTCCCAAGATGAGCTACCTGCAAGCAAGCCCTAATTTCTGGCTCTGCTTTCTGGGAGGAGGACAGAGGGAAGGGGGGCGAATGCTGTTCCGCGCTGTTCCTTCCCCTGTTTTGTCCCCTGGAAGGTGGGTCTAACAGTAACAGTAGGTGCCCCCTCGGAGGCACTTCCTACGTGCCAGGCACTGTGTGAAGTTCTTGACTTGCATCATCTCAAGTCTTCTTCCCAAAGCAGCAGCTGCGAAGACTGTTGTTACCTCCATTTTTCAAAGAAACTGAGGCTCAGAAAGGTTAAATAACCTGACCAAAGCCATACTGGGTCAGAGCGTGGATTTAGCTCATCCCTGATGCCAAATCCCATGACCTTAACCACCCGCCACTGCCTCCAGGTGAGCACCAACTTGGCACTATGGCAGGGCTGGGGACCTGGAGCCTGACGAGAGCTGCCCTCATCATCCTACTGCTCCCCAGAAGTAAGTGGGGGGCAGGGTGACGTGGGGAAAGGGGAGGTACAGGGAGAGAGATCAGGGGTGGAGGAGGGAATCATTTCCCTGCATTGGCAATCTGCCCCTGGGGTTCCCAAGAATCCCAAGGGAATCAAGTCCGGGCCACAGTAGGTGGGTGGTCAGAATCCCACTCACAGACCTCTGCAGGCAAAGTGCCACCTATGAGGAATGACAAGAAGACCTAGGATGATCAACATGGAAAAGGCCCGGGACAGGGAAGGAGCTAGGGCTTCTCTGCAAATCACTGCCAGGCTGTCAGAAGGAAGTCCCAGGGCCCATGCAGCCTTCTTGGGCAGTGAAAGGATCGGGGTAGAACCCGCAGAAGATAGGTTTCATCCACTCCGGTTATGGAAACTCTATCTTGAGAGGGGGAGAGCCTCCCATCTCTGGGGGGTATGCCAGCAGGAGCCAGGATTGTTGGCTTACTTTAATGGTGATATTTCAGCTTTCCAGGCCACAAGCAGTCCCTGTTGCAAGCTCTTATTTGGTTTTTGCTTTGTTAGTCTTTAGCCTTTTAAAAAGGAGAAACCAGCCTTAGCTAGAGACACCGCACACAGTATAGAGCAAGTCTGGCCTGCTGAAGAGGATGCAGCACCAGGTGAAGCTTGAAAGTAAAGAGTTTTGCCAGGTCCCTTCCGGTATGAAACGCGGAGTCTCCACATCCATGTTGAGTCGTGAATGTGTTCTGTGACCTGTGTTCCCCCCTTAGGGCCTCAGCATGCCCATCAGCAAAATGGGCCAAAGGACACCTCGGGAGGAAGAAGGCCGAGGTGCAGGGCTCCCTCGTGCAGTTAGTTATTGGGTAGCTACCCGCCCAGGGCCTGCTTTGTGCCGCAAGGCACTGGAAATACAGTAATGAGCAAAAGAGCCAATGTCTCCAGCCTCACAAAACCTATGGCCTTGCTGGGGAGACAGACCAGCGAATAACCACATGGCTCTAGAATTATGAAGGATAAGGAGAGCTTTGGGAACATTCAGGGCCCTCAGCCAGAGGGATCGCTCAGGGCATGTTCTCTTCCACCCCAGGCCTGGAGGAATGTGGGCGCATCACCCTATCAGCCCCCGTCATCTGCCTGGGGGACCCCATCACAGCCTCCTGCATCATCAGCCACAACTGCATCGAAGTGGGCCCAGAGCCACAGATTGTATGGAAATTAGGGACAGAGCTTCAACCCGGTGGGCACCAGCGCTCTCTGCCAGATGGGACCAAAGAATCCAACATCACCTTGCCCCACCTCAACCACTCCCGGGCCCTTCTCTCCTGCTACCTGAGATGGGGCAACAACAGCCTACAGATCTTGGACCAGGCTGAGCTGCAGGCAGGTTGTAAGTCTCTGTGCTCACTGTGTCCCCCAGTAACCAACGGAAGTTGTTATTTTGCTCAATTAACGCATCACCGGCATGATAATCTTCCCTACCGGTGGTTGGTGCTACTAAGCCCCATTTTGCAGGTGAGGAAACTGAGGCTCAGAGAGGGCAACTTGCTGAAGGTCACAAACTAACAAGGCTGGAGCAAGACTGACACGAGGCAGTGTAGCTCAGAAGCCTGATTCCATGAGGCTGCCAAGTCAGCCCAGCTCCCTGGCCATCAGAGGCTTCTCCAGGGAGAGCAGTCCCTACCAGCGCAGCTTGTTCCTCCCCTTGGTTTCTCCCAAGCCCAGTCCCCCACTTCCGCTCAAACTGAAAAGGGCCAAGTCGATACATAAGAAAAAACAAAGACACACCAAGGCTCTGGTTTAAGAATCACCAGCAGCAGCGCTGACACTTACATAGCACGTACTATGTACCTGTGAGCAGTGCAGGTACAGTGAGCCGTTCAGTTTTCACAAGGACCTGAGGGACAAGAATATTACCGCTACCCCATTTTGTGGGTGAGGAGACTGAGGCACAAAGCAGTTAGGTGGCTTCAAGGCCACACAGATAATGAATGACAGAATCAGCAACCCTGACACAGCACAGTCGAAGGAGGCGCAGCCAAGGGGGTGGAAGCTCTGTGATGCTTGTCCTGTACGTGCCTGAAACTTGGTTTCCCCAAGGCTGCCCCCCACCCAGGGTCACCCTGCACAGAGCCCGGAGCACAGACAAGGTGACTCCAGAGGGAACAACCCAGAGTGAGGAAGCAAAGCCAGCTGGCCCCAGTAGGGGAATTCTGGCTGGTCCTACCCAAAGCCCTCATGCTCCCCTTCTGTATGCAGACCCCCCTGCCGCACCCTACAACCTGTCCTGCCTCATGAACCTCACAATTAACAGCCTTACCTGCCAGTGGGAGCCAGGACCCAACACCCACCTGTCCACCAACTTCACCTTAAAGAGCTTCAGGTGAGTAGGGGTCGCTCCACCAGCCCTGTTTCCTTGAGTCCTGGGGCAAGGCAGGGGCAGGACAGTGGGTTCAGGGGCCCTAGAGGTAAAGATGGGTGGGCACAAGGAACCTCACTTCCTTCCTCAGCTGACAGCCTGGCCTATTGGCAGGAGCCGGAGCAACTGCCAGACCCAGGAGGACTCCATCCCGGACTGCGTGCCTGAGGAGGGGCAGGACCACTGCTCCATCCCACGGAAACACCTGCAGCTCTACCAGAAGATGGTCATCTGGGTGCAGGCAAAGAACGCGCTGGGAACCAGCAAGTCCCCACAGTTGTGCCTTATCCCCAGTGATGTCGGTAGGTGACCTGGGTGTAGGGGAGGACCAGAGGGGTGCAGAGGGGGAAACACACGGAGACCTAGGCAGAACTAGAGACAGAGACAAGTTGGGATGCAGCTGGAGACCCACAGAGACAGGGGAGAGACACAGCCAAGGAGACAGTCTTTCATCTTCCAGCAAATTTGAAGCAGCCATTGTAGATGAGGCACTATTCCAGGTGCTGGGAGTACAGCAGTGAACAAAATACCATAAACCTGGACTCTGCCATGTTGCATTCTGGTGGGCAAAAGACAATAGAATGTCATGTGATTGGGTAATTAAAGTGGGAAAAGGGCACAATAAAGGCCCCCCCAAAAAGGTGACATGAAAAAATTCTTGGAGGAAATGAGAGAAGAAGTCACCAGATCTCTGGAGGAAAAGTCTTCCAGGCAGTAAGGACAATCAGTGCAGAGGCCCCGGGGCAAGAGTGTATACTGGAGACCTAGGGAAAACAGACATCACACAGACAGACCTGCAGAAACATGATGACACAGAGGCGAAGAGAGACAGAGACAGCCCACGGATGGAGACCCAGGAAGGAAGTGGAGCCACAAAGGGGGACAAAAGGGAGCTAAGACAGAACCCTATCAATGAGGCAGAGAAAGGGTCTGACAATGCCTCTTCTTGCAGTGAAACTGGAACCCCCCACACTGTGGGGCCTGGACCCCAGTCCTGAGGTGACCCCACCCCAGCCAGGTTGCCTGAAGCTGCGCTGGGAGTCATGGAAACCAAGCATGTACATTGACCAGAAGTGTGAGCTGCGCCACCAGCCCCAGCTTGGGGAAGCCAGCTGGGCCCTGGTGAGGCACAGGCTAAGCTCACTAACCTTGGGCAGGGATGGCTGAGGGGAGGGTAAGTCAAGGTATCCCCGAAAGGCACAGGGCTCCAGGCTCAGAGCCACACCTTTCCCACCTCCCCCACCAGGTGAGCCCCCTGCCCGCCAGGACCTTCCAGCATGAGCTCTGCGGGCTCCTCCCATACACAGCCTACACCCTGCAGATGCGCTGCATCCGCTGGCCCCTGCCTGGCGACTGGAGCGACTGGAGCCCCAGCCTGGAGCTGACAACTGCACAACAGGGCAAGTGGGGGGTGAAGGGCTGGAAGCAGCCACCAAGATCCAGCCCAGCCACCAGGGCCCTCCCTGACTGCCACTCCCTCCTCTTGCTCCATCCGTAGCCCCCATGGTCAGACTGGACACCTGGTGGAGGCAGAGGCAGCTGGACCCCAAGACAGTGAATGTGCAGCTGTTCTGGAAGGTGACTCCCCCAAGGCCATCCTCCAACCCCTGAGACCCTCTCCAACCCGACAGGCCCCTGCATGTTGTGGCCCAGGACCCTGGCAGGTCTGGGAGGCTTGGCTGCATTAGTATGGGATTTGTATGCACTTTGCATGAGCTCCCCGGTGGCGCAGCGGTTGAGCGCTGGGTTGCAAAGCTGCCCACAGCCTCTGCAGCGCCGGTTTGATCCCCGGCTGCTCCCCGGCCACCGGAGGAGGGTCCCGCATGGCGTGCAGACCTCTCCTGCTGACCGCTGCTCCCCTCAGCAGTGTACTTCATCAGTCTGCTGCCTGTTCTGCTCCCCGCTCGGGCTCTGGTGAATTCTCTCACCCTCCTGTGCTTCTGACTGTACCCAGTGCTTGTATAAATAAATCTTTTAAAAAAAAAAAAAAAAAAAAAAAAACAAAGCTGGGCTCACCTACAGCAGAGGCAGAAATATCTAAGTGCCTGCTGCGCACACCAGTAGGGCTCCCTCTTGGAGGGAGCGGGTATGGCTCCCAGCCTGGGAGGCTCAATACCTGTAAAAAAAAAAAAAAAAAAACAAAGCTGGGCTCACCTATAGCAGAGGCAGAAATAGCTAAGTGCCTGCTGCGCACACCAGTAGGGCTCCCTCCAAGAGGAGGGAGGGAGGGGGTATGGCTCCCAGCCTGGGAGGCTCAATACCTGTGATCTATCCATACCACCCGTCTAGAAGTTCTCCCCCTACTCACAATAAGCTGTGCCTCCTCCCATCCCCCATTTTCTTCCTATGCCTTCCCAGCCAGTGCCCCTGGAGGAAGACAGCAAGCAGATCCAAGGGTACCTGGTCTCCTGGAGAGCCAAAGACCAGGCTGGGGCAGCCCCACCCCTCTGCAACACCACGGAGCTAAACTGCACCTTCCACTTGCCTTCAGAAGTCCAGGAGGTGGTGCTTGTGGCCTATAACACAGGCGGGACCTCCCAGCCCACCCTGGTGGCCTTCTTGGAGAGCAGAGGTAAAGCAGGCTGGCAGGAGGCTGAGCATGTAAATTCACAGGCCAGATTGCCTGGGTTTAAATGTAGTCCCACCAGTTGATAATAGTGTGAGCTGGGCAACTTAACTTCTCTGGCCTCTTTATTCTTCTAGCAAGTGGGGCACCCACAGAGCCTACTTCAGAGGGTCGCTGTGAAGATTACATGACTTAAGGCCTGTGACTGGCACAAATTAACTGCTCAATACATGGGAGTATTATCATCATTGACCCAAGCAGGTTAAATTGGTGGTGGTGTCTACCTTCTCTCTCTCTCTCTCTCTCTCCATCCTGCAGAGGAAGATGGGAGAGAAAGCCTTAAGTTTTCCTAGCTAGAACATGGTCCCTGAGTTAACTGCTCATTCATAGGGGGCAGCCATCAACCCCCAACCCCCACCCCACCCAGATCCTCACAGGTGAAGTTATCAGCTATAACAATAGCCAATATTCCACTTACTAGCCACAAGTTACTTAACCTCTCTGTGTCTTGGTGTCCTGATTGAAACAACAGAGCATGGTGGTACCTCTGTCATGAGACTTGGTAGAAGCAGCGAGTAAACATATACCAAGGACTAGACCTGGCACATACCAGGAGCTACAGGGTCAGCTCTTCTTGGGACCCAGCTGGACCCAGTCTTAGGCATTAAGCTAGACTTGCTCTGTGCATCAGTTCATTTAATCTGCACCAAGGCCCTATGAGGCAGGAAATTTTATCCCCATTACCACTTTACCAGGTCCAGATGTTGACTTATCCACGGTCACCCCACTCTTAAATCGCAAAGCCAGGATGTGAACCCAGGACCCACCTTCTTTTCACCTTCATTCCATCATTTCCCACTCTGTCTGCAGGCCCACCCGTGGCCAAACTCCACACCATGGCCCGAGATGCTCACAGCCTCTGGGTGGGCTGGGAGCCCCCCAGTCCTCAGCCTCAGGGCTATGTGATCGAGTGGGGACCAGGTCCCCCCAGCCCCAGTGACAGCAGTAAGATCTGGAGGATGGAGCATAACAGGAGCATCGTAGGAACCCTGCTGCAGGGTGAGACAGACCTGGGAGCTGGGCAAGGGGGCAGGCCTGGGGAGAGGGGGAGGCAGTGCTTGGCTGCCAGTAGGCAAGGGGCAGCCTGAACACCCAAGAGAAGCAGACTCCTCAATCCTTCTTGATCCTTCACTGGTCTCACCTCATCCTCAGAATCAGAAGTTCTTCCCATGGTCCAGCCAGATCTTCTCTACAGCCTGGAGCCTGCCACCTCTCTAGCACCCTCTTCTACTTTTCCTCCTTTACCCCCACCCCCCACCCTCCCCAAATGATCAGAAGAAGGGATGGCAGAGGCGAGCCCTACAGCAGGGGACCAGGCCATCCTTGAGTAGGGGGCCAAGGTGAGCTCCTGTTCGTGAGCAGAGATCAGCCCCTAACCAGAGCACCTGCCCCCCTTTATCTCTAGAGAACATCAGGCCCTTTCAGCTCTACGAGATCACTGTGACGCCCCTGTACCCGGACTCCAGGGGACCCTCCCAGCACACCTACGCCTACTCCCAGGAGATGGGTTTGTCTGCACCAGGCTCTTTCTCAGAGTCTTCTCTCTCTCAAGGCCGCCTAGGCCCTAACAATCAGGAATATGAGGGAGCATTTTCTGCCTCCCCACCCCCTAGCCCAGATGGGGGTCTCTCCCAATCCTAAGCTACCCCTGGCTTACACTGAACCCTGCAGTTGGACAGAAGTCAGGTGGTGGGAAGACAGAAAATGGACATTGAGTTTGGCAGAATTCAGGGGGTAAGTCCAGTAAAAATGGATCAACTGCCCTGTCCCGGTGATAGAAATTAGGCAGAGGGCCTGGCATAATTTAGAAAGAGAATGGCAGCAATGAAATCGGGAGTGAGACAAAATCAGGCCAGGCAGAAGTCAGGTAGTGGAGCTGAGGTTCCACAGAGAACCAGATTTGAATCCTGACTCAGCCACATACTAGCAGATGGAATCAAGGGAAAGCTAGGCTTGGAAAGGTGTCCCCTTGGGCTCTCTTTTCCCATTTGCCCTGCAGCATGTCTGGGTTCTTGAGTCTGGGGCTCACAAGAAGTCCATCTGGGCCCTCCATCTGGCCCTGCTCTGGGCCAGCCCGTCTCTCTTCCGACAGCCCCCTCCCACGCCCCGGAGCTGCATCTGAAGCACATTGGTAAGACCTGCGCTTGGCTGGAGTGGGTGCCCCAGGCTGCTGAGCTGGGGAGGAGGCCCCTTACCCACTACACCATCTTCTGGACCAACGCTCAGAACCAGTCCTTCTGTGAGTCTATCCTCGGCACCCCACGGCCCAGAGGGCCCAGGATGGGTTGCTCAGCAGCCTCAGAGGGAACCTCAGCATCAGGGCCCAGGCTGATCATTCTCTCTACTCCAGCCACTGTCCTGAACGCCTCCTCCCATAACTATGTCCTCTGTGGCCTGGAGCCGAGAAGCTTGTACCACGTCCACCTCATGGCCACCAGCCAGGCTTGGGCCATCAACAGTACAAGCCTCACGCTGATGACCTCCACCTTCGGTAAAGGGGGAAGGGAGCTGTTAGGACACGGCTGTTGGGAGGGTGCTTCACCTAAAGGAGCTCTGTTTTGAGAGTAGACAGGCCTTGTCTCCGTCCCCTAGTCTGAGGGAGAAGACCCAGTCCTGTCCTGGGGTCCCCATCTGAGGGAGGAGACCGGGCTTCCTCGCATGCACTCTAACCTCTTGTGGCCTTTCCCTCACCCCAGATGAGTCTGAACTGCACATCTTCCTGGGCCTCTCCAGCCTCCTGCTCTTGTTCTTCTGCCTTTGCGTGGCAGCCTGGCTCTACTGCAGACCCACGTGAGTCATTTCAAAATGACACCCAGCTACCCTGCCCACCAGGAACTGCAGGGCTACGTGGGTCAGTCTAAATCTCCCCCAGCCTTCCCAGGCTTCAGGGTCCATGTCTGGGAGTCAGGGCTCCCACTTTCTCCTCTCTGCACTAAAGAGTTATCCCTTCAGCTACCAGAGTGGGTAGGGGAAAGGATGGAAAGATGTCAGGGCACACCTGACCCAGTCTTTACCTGCCTCCTTCTTTAGCAGGAAGAATCCCCTCTGGCCAACTGTCCCTGACCCAGCCCACAGCAGCCTGGGGTCCTGGGTGCCCACCATCATGTCAGAGGTAAGAACCCTGCAGGAAGGGGGGGGGTGTGGAGCTAGGGGTGTTGGCCCAGGCTCCAAGTGGAGGGTACCCTTCTGAGGGCGAGGATGCAGGCCTTCCCAGCACTTCTTAGCAAGATCCCCTCCTTGGAGCACAGCAGACCTGAGTTCTATCCATTTCAGAGCCACAGTCATCTTACTATGAAACCAAACTAATCCCACACATAATCATTAAGGAGAATCACCGAGCCAAGTGAACAGCACATAGAATGCATCAGGAACACACGAGGTGCTTTGTAAGTGCAACCCTCTGAGTTCCAACAGAGAGCAGTCAGAATGTCCCCACAATTGCCAAAGCTCAGGAAGGGCCAGAGGTTGGGGTAGACATCTGAAATGAATCATGCCCTTACCCCAACATCCTTATGTATAGGAGATTTTCCAGCTGCCCAGCCTTCAGGACCCTGGCATGCAACCCATCACCAAGATCACAGTGCTGAAAGAGGAAGAGAAGAAGCCAGGGCCCTGGGAATCCAATGACAGCTCAGAGACCTGTGGCCTCCCCACCCTGGCCCAAGCCTATGTGCTCCAAGGGGACCCAAGAGCACCTTGTACCCAGCCTCAGCCTGAATCTGGTACCAGTGACCATGTCCTATATGGGCAGGTGCTGGGCAGTCCCACTGGCCCAGGGCCAGGGCATTACCTCCGCTGCGACTCCACTCAGCCTCTCTTAGGGGGCCTCACTCCCAGCCCCAAGTCTTACGAGAACCTCTGGTTCCACACCAGTCCCTTAGGCACCCCAGAGCCCCTAGTCCCAAACCAGGAAGACGACTGTGTCTTTGGACCACTGCTGGACTTCCCCCTCTTGCAGGGGCTCCAGGTACATGGAGTGGAGGGGCTGGAGGGCTTTTAGAGCTTCCCTTCCACCTAGGCCTACCTCTTGAAAGGAAAGAGTAGGCATGCCCACCACTATAAAAACCACCCAGCCCCAGAATAGGCATAAAGACTCTCAGTCTCCTCAATCCCTGGTCCCAGTATCCCTACCCTATCACCCCAATCTCCATGAGCTGGGCATCCCACTTTAAAGGTCAGAGAACAGGGGCCTCCCTGGTGGTATAATGGGTTAAACACCGCACTATGAAGCAATCCACAGCCTCTGCAGCACAAGTTCAATCCCCGATGGGCCAGGGAGAAACCCACATGGCAAAGCAGACCTCTCCTAACTCGCCCGCTGCTCCCCTCAGCAGTGTATTTCAGTCAGTCTGCCTGTTCTGTTCCCCACTCTGTCTCTAGTGAATCCTCTCACCCCCTGCATCTCTGGCCTGTACTCCAGCTCTTGTATGCATAAATAAATAAATCTTTAAAAAAAAAAAAAAGGTCAGAGAACATTTCGTCCAGTCCTATGCACTGGTCTTTTATGATTATTTCTTGAAATTTCAGTCTCTTAATCTGATTTATGTATTTGTTTTGTTTTGAAAAACTGGAATGTGCCTGAGTCTCTGTTCTTTTATGTTAGGGCCCTAGCACTCAGGGGATACATTTCAGAATTGTCAGGTTGCTTAGTTTTTCCTCGATCCATTCATTCACTCACCTAGCATCGAGGCCCTGCACTGGCAGCTGGGATTCAAAAATGACTCAGCTCAGTCCACCCTCAAAGAACTCCCAATCTGTGGAAATTTGAAAACTGGTTACTAGGACATAGTGGCCAAGATTACCTGGAGCGAGTCACAGAGTGCCACGGGACATGTGGGCCATGGGGGATAGACCTCAGAAAAGACTGAGCCCTGTGGTATATATAGACAATGGAATACTGCTCAGCTGTAAAAAAGGATGAAATACTGCCATTTGTGACAATATCGATAGAACCAAAGGTGATTGTGCTAAGTGACATAAGTCAGGAGAAAGACAAATACCAGATGGCTTCGCTCATATGTGGAATATAAAAAAAAACAAAGCAAAAGAAAAGACAACAACAAGCCCTAGAAATCTGCCGGTAGAACTGAAGCTACCAGAGAGGGAGGGAAGGGATAAAGAGCAACAGTGGAGAGGGAGCCCAGTGGACTAGAGTGGAGTACTATGGATCTTTGGGTGGTGAAGGTGGCATTGTAACATATATCTGAAGAGATGTGAATCTATACTCCTAAATCATTTTCAGTGTTGTAAGTGAATGTTACCTCAATTTAAAAAATGATACAATATTTTAAAAATCTGCCAACCTAGAAAACCTCCCCACAAGGTAAGAAGAGGAAGAAGTATTATTATTGAGTGAGTGTCAAGCCAGATGTGATATAAATCACAGACAATCTGCTAAAGAGCTTACAAAGACAGAAAGAAATGTTATCCTTTCATATAACCATGTGGCTACAACTTTTGCATACATTTTCTCAAAACAGTAACCTGATAGCACCATTTGTCACAGAGTTCATCCTAAATTTACCTGGTAAATAGGGTAGACACCTCTGTTTGTGAGTTGCATTTATCTAAAGGAAAAATAAATTTCTCCTATCTTTATGAGGAGGTAGGTTGCAACTTAGAGTTCAAGTTAAGCTACTACTCTCCCACAGAAACTGAGAGATCAGGGTACAGCAGTCCTAAATGATGACATCGCAAAGACATGATTTTCAGGTCCTAGGAAAAAACATTCCTTCTCATAAAACCAGCCAGAAGGGCATTTAGCTTTTTAAAAGATTTACATTTATCTCCAAAGGACAGTTCAAGTACCCTGAAGTAAATGCTCTGAAAAATATGAGGGGGTGGACCTTCCTGGTGGTGCAGGGGAGTAAGCCCTGAACTATGAAGCAATCTGCATCCTCTGCAGCACAAGTTCGATCCCCGGTGGGCCAGGGAGAAACCCACGTGGCAAAGCAGACCTCTCCTGACTCACCCGTTGCTCCCCTCAGCAGTGTATTTCAGTCATTCCTCCTGTTCTGTTCCCCACTCTGTCTCTGGTGGATCCTGTCACCCCTCACATCTCTGGCCAGTACCCCAGCTCTTGTATGCATAAAAATAAATAAATCTTTAAAAAAAAATGAGGGGGAGGAGACTTTTCCATATTGTAGGGAAGGGAGAATTAAAATTGATTTTTCCTACGTTTAATTTGTACTTGTCCTTAAACTCGTTTCACAAATAATATGACAGCTAATATTTGTTGAACCAATGTTCACTATTCAGCAGTTGTACTGCACATAACTGCCTCAGATAATCCTCTAACACGCTAAAAGATAAAGATAGATGCTGCTATTACCATCCCCATTTGAGGGATGAAGGCACTGTGACCCAGAAAGGTTGTGACTGGTCCACAGAATTACACAATGAGTAAATTAATGGGTGAGCTATGGTACCAGCCCACGGCTGATTCATTCCAGAATCAAGGACATTAATCACCAGGCCACACGGCTGCCAGAGAGGTGGCTGAGATCCAGTAGTTCTCACAGGGCCCCTGTCTTGGACTTTGTGGGAGGAGTGGGGTGGAAATACTGGATCAGGGGTAGAAGGCTATGGAACATCCAGAAGCCCCCCAAATAACCAGAGCCAGAGACTAAGAAGTAGAGTGGAATTAAGGGCACGATACATGCCTAAGAAAAAGCCGCACCTTAGAATGAATACAGCACCACACAGCAATGACAAGGTGCGGCAACCTCCGAGCTCCTCAATCTGCCTCAACCGCTAATTAGACCTCTCCACTCGATCTAAGCGTCATCACCGAGGCCAGCCTTCTAATCCATTCTCTCGGGCCTCATCTGCTCCGGCCTCGCAACGATACTCGATTGGTCGAGCCTGAGACAACATGGCGGCGCCCGTGTAACCCAGTCCGTACCGCCAAGGCGACGGCGCCGAGGGCGCGGGCCCTGCGGGTGTTAGAAGTAACCATGCTGAGAGCCGCCTGGAGGGCACTGAGTTCTATTCGGACCCCTGCACGGGCCCACGCCCCAGTCCTAGGGCTGCCGGCTGGAGGGTGCGCTAGGAGTCCCTCTGACCGACTGGGCCTACCCTCAACTCCTCGAGGTGAGCTGAGAAACCCAACATTATGAGCACGGAATGGGATTCAGCGGGGAGAGGATTCCAGGGGACGAGAATGGGGGAGAAGTGCAGCGGGGTGAGAGAGAAAAGGTGTTAGGTGGAGAACTAAAGCGAAGTGGAAGGCGGTTCGGAAACTATGGTGAGGCGGTTAGGCACAGAGGGGCAAAGATCATGGAAGAAAGGTATTGCAAGGACTATAGGAAGGAATGGAGACTGGACTATTTAAGAAGCCGCGGGCCTCAGCCCTCTCTCTTCCCTGTAGGTCTTATGTTCCACGCCACCCGTGAATATGCCATCCAGAAACAAGGTAGGAGCTCTTGGGCTAGGACTTGGGGAGAATCTGCTTGAAAATCTTGGGGCCACGGGGACAGAGGTTGCTGATTAGTGCCACTAGATGAGCAAAGGGGTGGTCCAGAAGTTCTGAGCAGAAGACCCCCACATCCACCTAATCACAAAGCTGGAGGCCTGAAACCTGCATAGGCGGCGAATGGGGAGGTGGAGTGTAGGTGTGGGAGCTTCTGCACTGTCTGGAAGTGAAGATGAGCACGCCAGAGAGAGCAGGTTGCTGGCACTCCCCAAACCTAAAGATAATAAAAGCACTCTGTGTCTGCCCTTCTCAGGTGGAGGGCATGGTTTCCCATTTCAAGGCATTCCATACATTAGTTAAGATCCCTCTTGCTGGGTAAATGATACTGGGCAAGTTACTTATTTGAGTCTCATTCAGAAATGAGTATGAAAGTATTTGGGAGGATAAGTATTATGACTCAATGATTATACATGAAAAGTGTCCTCAGAACTGTGTACCATAAACTATAGCATGTATTTGTATCTATTGATATTGATATTATTTCTATAATATCTGAGTAGCATCTGACTGAAGACAACAAGTTGATCTCCCTCATGTCTCTCCCTCTCCTTCAAGAGAACATAGGGATGTACACATCAAGGCTAAGGATATCCTGTCATCTCTCGTGCTTACCAAACAGGCTTCTCAGTGCCTTTATTTCACTCATGCAGCCAGCTGGCAAGTGTTTATTGAGTGTCTAGTCTATGCTGGAACATGGACCAGACTGGGGGATCCAAAGGTAGTCAAACTTAGTCCATCCACCAGAGGGATCCATCCTAGTGAGGAATCTGATAACTACAAAGTCAGACAAGTGTGTGACTTCTGGGAGTAGATGGTCTTTCCCAAGACCTCATACTGTGCCTTGTCTCAAAACAGTAACTCAGTCAGATGCTGCTCTGATATTATAGAAATAATATCAATATCAATAGATACATACATACATACAATATCAATAGATACATTTTTCCTTTGGAAAAATATAGTATGTATCTATTGATACATACTATTTACCTGGTAAATTTAGGATGAACTCTGTGTGACAAATGGTGCTGTTAAGTTACTGTTTTGAGACAAGGCACAGTATGGGGTCTTGGGAAAGGCCATACTCCCAGAATGAATTATCAAGCCAGGCAGGTGTCTAAGCAGGTTGGCAGAGAAGAAAGTGAACCCAATGATATTCACTCTCTGACAAAGGTAGGGAGCACTGGAGGCGCAGGGGTGAAAGTCTCAGTGCTATCAAAGTTATCGCCAGTCACTGCTACCTGAGTTCGATCCCCAGCCAGGGAGCTGACCCACATGGTGCACCAGACCTCTCCTGTCTTACCCTCTGCTACCCTCAGCAGTGTATTTCAGTAGATCCACCTATTCTGCTCCCCACTCTGTCTCTGGTGAATCCTCTCACCCCACACACACACACTTCCAGCCTACACCCCAGTTCTTGTATGCATAAATTAATAAAAATAAATCTTTAAAAAAAAAAAAGTAGGGAGCAGGTGGGAAGAGCTAAGTTTGGGAGGACAGGCAGTGAAAGCTGACTCTGGGTGTTTTCCATCTTTATATTTAACAGTTCAACCCAGCCGAGATGATGATCCACCCCCTTCCACACTGCTCAAAGAGTACCAGAACATCCCTGGAATTGAGAAGTAAGCAGGAAGAAATCTCTTTGAGGAGGCAGAGGGCCCTGGGAGGACTGGCAAGGAGAGGGGAAAGACTGGCTGTGATTCTAGAATCAAGCTTGATTATAGAATGGGGCAGAGAACCACAGAAGCCCAGACATGGGCAGGGTGACTGGGCACAAAACAGATGAGGCTCTTTTTGTACTCTGGGTAAAGACCCTAGACCACTAGATAGCAAGGAGGGAACATGCATGCATCATGGGTCTTTGTAAAAATCTCTCATCTCTTGATCCTCACAAAAGATCTGTGAGGGAAGAAATAGTGGTCACGTTGTATAGACTGACAAGCTAGCCAATGTCAGACATTTCCAAGGAGGCTGAGCTGGGATTTGAATCCAGGATGAACAGCACAAAAGTCAAGCTCCTCTACTTAGCTCCCGTCCTACGCAGGAGCTGGGTAATCCCTCCCACTGTGCAATGTGACTTGAAAAAGAAACAGTGATTATAGAATTGATGTGTCTCAAGACAGGTTAACCCATATTCTAGTGAAAATGGAAAGTCTCCCTTTGTCCTCCCTGTGATGAGCCTGTAACACTTGACTGACAGCCCCAGTTTTCTAGGGTTATCACCTTTTTCCCTGTTCGCAGCCCAGAAAATCAGATACACATTGATTCCTAGTCCCTGGGAAATGGCTCCCCATCTCATTAATTGTAAAAGAAATCTTCATTGTTATTTTTCAAACTAAAATGAAAACAGAATTCTTGCCCTTTTCCTTCTCCTATTCTTTTCTCTCATTACTATGGTTTTTCCACAGAGTTGATGATGTTGTGAAAAGACTCTTGTCTTTGGAAATGGCCAACAAGGTGAGTGGCCTGTGCCAAACCTGATTACCTCAGCCCTTTCCTCTGGGGACTCCCTCCTACCCTGGTGACATCACCCATCCCATGCTTCCAGAGTCACATCACTTGCCCACTGTTATTCTATGTCCATTTGCCAGTACCCCCAGATTGAGCATCTCAAGGGCAGAGACAGTCTTACCCCCAATTACCTCCCTAGCACCTGACAAACAGTAGGCTCAATAAAGATTGAAGCCTAAATGAATGAGAAGGCTTTGGGGACATTTGTCCCACAAGCCATTTCTCCTGTCAGCAGCAGCTGCCTTGGACTCACTAGATATGAATAGCTCTGTGGTTGGCTCAAGGCCTTGCCTGGTGAGCGAATGAAGTCAGTCCCTGAGCTTCATGGCCTAGTTGCTGTGACTACAGCCATGACCTCGGAGGTAAGAGGGCTAGTTCTTCAAGGGTGGCAAACCTCACAAATTCTCTGTCTACTTTCAACAGAAGGAGAAGCTAAAAATCAAGCAGGAGCAGTTGATGAACAAGATCACGGCAAACCCTGAGGACAACAGATCTCTGGAGGCTCGAAGTTGGTCAAGGAGCCCTTGGGGAGTGGGGGTACAGGGGAGTTGATAACTGGTACTTGATCCAGGCCCCTTGTCTTCAGGTGCACTAGGAATTAAATGTCGCTCATTTAAAGGGTGAGACAGGTAGGCCCAAGGGCAGTAAGAACCACACTCTGTGTCCTGAGCTCTGTGATGCCGGAGGTCCTACCGCGCACCTCCCGTGTGAGTTCAGGCAGGCTTCCTCAGAAACCAAAGCTCGTGTCTGTCTTTCTCCACTCTGCAGCTGAGGTGGTGTGAAGGGACCATGTGGTCAGGGCCCAGATTCCCACGGCTCACTCTACAGCACTCCCAGAACTCAGTGTGTTTTTGAGGAGGGTCTGCTGTAGCGCCAGCCTCTCCTTGGGGCCACCTGCTTTTTGCCTTTGCTGCCATTTTTGCACACAGGCAGGAATCAAACAAGAAGACACCTGAAGGAAGGGTATTCTGGGACTCTAGGAGATAAGTGATAAACTTATTTGAGCTATGGGTGGCAGCTGGAAGGAGAGTGGCACAGATCCATCTTGACTGCTGTGGAATCTCACAGCATTGGCTAGGACCTCTCACAGCATTGGCTAGAACCTTTAACCGTTAGAGCATACATCCTAGACTAATTGCTGAATTCAGTAGTTTTACTATGTTTGGGAATGAAACCTTTATAAGATTAAGGAACTTCCCTTCCTTGGACTTTGTCTTGTGAAGGAAACATAACCCGGTCATTTGAGCTCTCAAAACTCAAAGAGTGCTTTGGAAGTTGTGACGTGCTGTAAAGAGCATTGTCTATTATTATTCCTTGAGTTCTTGAACCATAACTCAGGCCTAGGCCCTTCCTTCCTCTGTGCCCAGTTCTCATCCTCTGTGGTTTGTGGTTTCAGTTATTGCCTTGACTGTCAAGATCCACAGTTATGAAGAACATATGCAGAAACATCGAAAGGTAAACCTTAGGCATCACTCACAGTTGAACACCAGCCGCCAGGGGAGAGGGCCTGGAGGTGAAGGGCTCTAAGTCCAGGAGAGTGGGTCCAGTGGGAAGCCAGGTGGCCACACCCCGGCCAGCCTGCTCCTCAGCTGCAGTGGGGAAAACATTTCCCTCTTGTCTCCAGTGAAGAAATGGGGGTCTCACAGGGCTGTGTCAAGTATCACCAGTGGAGACAACACAAGGGTACCCATAGTGTCTGGCTGATGGGGGCTGCTCAGCAAGTATTTGTTGAATGTATGAAGGGGCTCAGATTTCCCTGAATTCAAATCCCAGCTCTGCCATTTCCATTTAACTAGCTGTGTGAGGTCAGGGAATTCTTTCACATATACAAGCTTCAGTTTTCCTTTCTGTAAAATGGGCGTCATAATAGTATCTGCTGACAGGGTTGTACGGACCATATGACATAACAATAGTCATTATCATGCACATAATACTTGCTAAATACTTGACATGCAGCAGGTCATCTAACCCTTCCACCATTTTTCTATGCCATTTCACAGCATGATAAGCTAGGCGTGGAGTAACTAAGTTATTCAGCCACCATTCAGGCATACCATGAGGGCGTGAATGCTAGGACTTGAATTAGGTGATCTTGCTCCAGGACTCATGTTCCTGACCATCAGGCCTTATCTCAGCACAGTGTTGGGCACAGAGCAGCTGTAATTATTAGGCAGTTGATGATTTTTAATAAATACAAGATTGTGAATATAGACTGGGCAGCTCCATAGCTGGCACCTCAGTGTTCCCTTGGGCTGGTGGCACCTACCTGGAGATCTAACTCGTTCATTTGGAATGGCCTGCCAGCCCCACTGCAGAGGTCCTTCACGAAGCAGCAGCTGGCCACAGATGAGGGTCTCCAGGAAGAATACAAGGCCTTCCTCTCCACCCCAGCTGACAGTTTGCTAAGCTGAGGAGAGACTAAACAAGTGGTGTGAGAGAAATAGCATTAGTTTTAGGTCAGATCAGTAGACCCACATTCCAGACCAGACCACACACAAATTCCCCACCCAGCACCCTCCTAGGACCTTTGATGTATCAGATACATCTTTGCATCTTTATTTTCCCATCTGTAAATGGGAATAGCAGTAGTAATACCTACCTCAGAGCTGCACTAATAATTCTTGGAAAGTTTTAGTGACAGGATGAAATGACCATCCTTTGTCATTAGGAAATGGCACGCCACTTACTCTCTAGTGCTAACAGTATACCCACTCTCTTACAGGACAAAGCCCACAAGCGCTACCTACTCATGAGCCTTGACCAGAGGCAAAAGATGCTCAAAAACCTCCGCAACACCAACTATGCTGTCTTTGAGAAGACGTGCAAGGAACTAGGGATCGAGTACACCTTTCCCCCTCTGTACAACCGAAAGGCCCACCGCCGCTCGGCGGCCAAGAAGGCTCTGTGCCTTCAGGTACAAGTCTGAATTGCTGCTTTGGTCGGTGCCACCCTGGGACTGTGGCAGAGCGAGCAGAAGGAAAGGGTCATCTTTTCTGATAGAGGCATGGATCTGGCCTCAGGGTCTTGAATGGCCCCAGATCCACCGACCCTTGAAGACAGGCTAGGGTCATCATCAGGGAGGCAGTTTCCACCCCACCAGCTCCAAATCTGAGATTTTACATAAGATGACAAAGTCCTTTCCTGTTTCCTTTCATCCCCAGGTTTTCCAGGAGACTCAAAAACTGAAGAAGCAAAGAAGGGCCTTGAAAGCTGCAGCAGCAGCACAGAAGCGAGAACAGAGGCACCCCAGCAGCCCTTCCGAAGCTGAGCCAGAGACAACCAATAAGAGCCAATAAATTCTGTTAATGTTTTTTCTGCCCTGAAGAATCATAGAAGTTGGGTCTTTGTGGCCTGAGGAGGAGGAATTCTTTCGTTCTTTCATTCAGCTCTGGGACACCAGGTTGTCTGAGCCAGTCCCTCCCTCATATCAGAAGGCACACTCATAACACAATTCCCACATCTCGCATCAACAGATCCCTGTCATCCAGGTGGTGTTTCAGTGGAGGTGAGACCGAGCGCACAGCACCCAGTGTGGCTGGCTGACTGCTGGGTGAGGCCAGCTGCAGGAGCTGCCTTCTAGACTGGGCCCTAAAGCATGAGTGGAAGTTCACTGGGCAGAGGTGAGGAGGGGAGGCGTTCCCAGCAGAAGGGACTGCAAGTACAGAGGGAAAGAGGCCCATAGGTGTGGGCTGTATTCAGAGAACAGTGAGTATCAAAAATAAACCTGGCAGATGAACTGAAGCAGGGCTGTGACAGAGTTGATATGCTGACCGGGGAGACCGTGCATTGCCCCCTGAGGAGTGGTGGGGGACAGTTAAGGTTTAAAACCAGAGGAGTAAGGAAAGCAAGACATCTGTGTTCTAGATGGTTAAGCAGCAGCAGCATGGAGGGGTGATAGGATGGAGAGAGGTCAGATCAACATATTGTTGAGTAGGAGCACTGGTGTTCAGCTTCGGAATCTGAGCAAAGCTACAAGTTCCCCAGTTATTGCACATACACAAAACATTGCATATAAATTCTGGGAGGTGATAGACACCCCTATCCCCAAAAAGCTACCCAAATTAAGTGCCAAAACCTTTAAGCCTAAACATGCTTGGCATGTCTGAAGAGCCCAAGGAAGACTGTCTAAAACTGGAGAGCAAGAAGGGATGAGGTCAGAGAGGTAAGCAGACGTGAGGTGATAGAGCACTTTCTGGGTGTGTTTGTCTGTTCAGGCTGCCACTAAAAAATTAAAGGACTGGGTGGCTTAAGTAGCAGATACTTACTTTCTCACAGTTCTAGAGGACAGAAATCCAAGATCAAGGTGCTGGTCAATTTTATTTCTTCCTGGCTTGCAGCATCACTTTCTGACTGTCATCACATTGAAAGGGGGTGATCTCACAAGGGCACTGGACCTATCCTGAGGGCCTCCCCTCATGCCCTAGTCAGGTTCTCATCACCTCCCAAAGATCCAGACTCCAAATGCCACCACATTGGGGGTTTGGGCTTCAACATAAGAATTTGTGGGAAAACATTCAGTCCGTGACAACAGAGAAAAGACCTGGCTTCATCCTGAGCAAGGAGAGCCTTTGAGGCAAGCCAAGAGGAAGAAAGATGGATCAAACTGATGTCCAAAGAGGAGGTGAAAACTTAGATTTGAAACAGTGTAAAGAGGCTTGAGCTAGAGACAGCTTTGGGGATTCTGTTCAGATGGTGATGGAAGCCATGGTTATGAGTAAAATTACCTAGGGAAGGAGTGTAAAAGAAGAGAAATGCACCACCATCAGGAAGGGAAAGATGTTTCTGATGGTATCACCTGAGCCCTGAGGAGGAGTGGCTAAGACTGAGGGCAAGGTGAGGAGAGGACAGATCAGCACCTGAAGACTCAGAAGTGAGAGAAGTTAGAAATGAAGATGAACTATTCAGCTGTCACCTCCAGGAACAGCAAGGGAGACCTTTCATGGGGCATGACTGAATGGACACAGCTCCTAAGATAATATGCTGGAAGGTCAAGTGACAACATGTAAGGGGTTCATGGAGCAAAAGAAAAGGAACATGTTAGTGGAGAGGCTCTGCAAGAAGGTACATCAGGTGCCACCTTAGGCATATAATCTAACCATCAAAGCGACCTTTACACACACACACACAGATTGGCATAATTATTTTACCATGGAAGAATTGGAGGCTCAGTGGCTAGGTAACTTGTCTGAATTCATACATTTGGTTAGAGACAGGCCTAAGATTCAAACCTATATCTGTCTTGACTCCAAAGCCCAAGTTGTGTTTACTATACCATGCTACCTAGGGGCATAAAATGGTCTGTGAAGCTATGGGAGGGATCTATACTGCAGCAAACTCAAATGCCTTTAGCAGCCAGGCAGGTAAATGCTGGGAGGCCTGATGGAAGGGATGCTAAGTTGCTTGTTACATTCCTATCCTAGGTCTGTTCCCTTCGAAAATAGTACAACCAGGCAAAATCAAGTCAAAACCTTGGCTGCCAGCTTTTAACCGGTTAAAAGGAGGACAGCATGCAGAGATGCTGGTTAAGGACCAAAAAGTCTTCATGTGAAAGTTCCACTGGGTTGGAGAGAGCTGAATCCCCATTGCAGTGAAGAGGGAAGTGAGGATGTGAAGGATATTCAGGTTGTGGATTCAGTGATGTGAATGCAGGCTACTCTGAAAAAACCCTGGCTGAGAAAGAAGGAAATGGACTAGAGAAGGTGTGGCAAGGACTTGTGCTTGTATGTCAGCCCTCACCCACCCATTGGGTGTGGTTGAGGGAGAGAAGGTGATGCTCCATGAGGGTGATTTACTGGTGAGGTGAGTTCAGCTAGATGGGGAGTAGGGGATAGTGAAGCTATCTGTAGAAAAAATTGGAGTACAGAGCTTTGATTGCCACGGATCTAAAAATCAAGGGACCACTCAAGGGATGTCACTGACAGTAGTGCCTCTGAAATTGAGCCTAGCAGCCAGTGTGAGAGAGAAAAGAGCTGTAATATGGAGGAACACAGTAATGCAGACAGAAAAAGTAAAGGGATACATGTGAAATTTTGGAGGAAAATGTAGAATTTGGTGTTTGATGTTGAATGACTAACGGACCCAGGGAGAGAGCTGGAAGCCGAGGCTCAGGTTTCAAGTCTGAACAGCGGGAAGGAAAGCTAACAGCGGGCTCTAGCAATAAAGGTTCACAGACACAGCTACTCATGAAAGTAAAAATGGACAGCAGATGGCGGGAAGGTGATACTGGAGTTCAAGTCCGGGTCCTGCCCTCAAAACGGAGAAATGGATGGGAGGCCGCTTTACAGGAGTGACAGAGGGCACTTCCGAGAGCCCCGAGCGCGCATCTCTGGAAGGGGGCAGACACGAGAACACACCGTGTCCTCTCCAGAGGCTGAAACCCGGTGGGGCTTCACTCCAAGCGGCTTTCAGGATGGAGACGCAAATAATTCCAGGGTTTCATTCCAGACACAAATAATTCCACCTAAAACAAAAGTCGTGGCACTCTGCAAGATCTCATGGATTCCTCTCTGCACCCCTGTGCGGTGGGCGCCACCTCCACTCTGCGAAGGCACAGGCCGAGGCTCACATCACCTGCCCAAAGCCACACGGCTAGGTAGCAGCGGAGCGTGACGCAAGCCCAGGTCCGTGGGCTGCAAAGATGTCCCGCGTGAGCGTTCCTCGCTCGTGGCGCCGGGGCGCGCGGCCGGGAGGGCGAGGGCGGTCGCGTGAAGCCAGCTGGGCCGCGCGCCCCCCGCCCACTCCTCGGCGCCGAGTCGGGTCTTAAGAAACTCAAAACCCGCGCTTCCGGCCCAGGGTCTGCGGCACCCGCACTTCCCGCGCCCACCAATCACCCAAAGGGTCTCCGTCTCCCAGCCCAATAAGAGTCAGCCCCCGGACGCCTCCCAACAAACCGCCTGCTGATTGGCTGCTTTTCCCCACCGCCGCGTTGCCTTAGCAACTAAGTCACAGGGACGCGGCTGCCGGGCCTCCAGGCCTCTGGCTACCAAGCCCCAGGGCTCTTCACCAACCCTGCGCGCTTCCGGCACCATGTCCTTGCGCACGCTACCGCTGCTCTTCCTGAACTTGGGCGGGGAGATGCTTTACATCCTGGACCAGCGGCTGCGAGCCCAGAACATCCCAGCAGACAAGGCCCGCAAAGGTGAGAGGCGCCCGGCCCGCACAGCCAGACCCATGCCCCGCAGCCCGTCTCCCAAATTGCCGCCCCAATCCCACAGCCAGACCTTCACAGCCAGACCCCTTTACAGAATGACCAACATCCATGCACACTGCGCTTTTATAACCAGGGACCTTTCTCTCAACGCCACAGCCTCACCACCACAGCTCCTCCATAGTCAACTCCCAAAAATATCCATTCACAGCAGAGGGATGTAACCCCCCCCATGGCTATTGTTAGGTTACCTTACTCTCCCCCTCCAACCCCTACCCCTCATTTCCCCATCCCCTCGAAATGGGGGATGATTTCCCATGGTCTCTTGATAACCATTTCTCCCAAATGTAGGAATGCTCTGCTTGTCCCAGCATCCTCGTCCTCTCTTCCCACCCCCCCAAACCAGGTTCCGATTTTCTTTTCCTCTGTGTAATATTTTCTTTCATAAGCTGGAGGCCAGCCTTGCTAATTTCAGAAGGTATTTTTATAAAGCTGGGGTTCTGAAATAACATAGATAAATAAGTTATGCCATACCTTTCACGGTTTTTGCAAGAGTGCAATCGTGGAAAAATCACATGAGAATTTCTAAAATGCAAAATGTCCCTCATTTACAGCTAATCCTCAGTGACCACCCAGAATTCTCTGCACCCTTTTCTTCTCCCTCTTTTCCTCTCTTCTCAACGAACAACCACTTTCACCAAGTTTTCACCAAGTTTCTGGGATTAAGCATGAAGGAAATATTATATTTCAAGGTAGAGGAAGATTTAAATGTAGCTGACATGGCTACTGATTAAAACATGTATCCTCTTCAACAGGCTCTGTATGCTCAATTGATGTTAAGCATACATATTCAGTTGCTAAGCATACATATTCAGGTATTCACTATTGTGTCTGTGCAATTGACTCCAAGTCCATGCATAAAAAGAAAAAGAAATCCCTATAGCACGACCCCCTCAGTTCATTCTGTACACAGCTGTCAGTGAGCTTTCTAAATGCAAATCTGTCCATACTCCCCCCTACTTAGAACTCTTTGTCAGCTTTCCACTGCTGTCTGGCTGGTAGCCAAGTCCATGGCAGGGCCCTTCCTGATCTGATAACTGTCCACCTCTGCAATCCCACCACTGCCTGCCTCCTGCTTTGTATCTTAATACCAAACTTGTTCATTTTTTTCATGTTGGTAATCCCCATCCTACCCAGTCCTCCCATTTTCATACTAGTAACTCTGCTTCCATTCTGCATTATTCAGCTAAAGAATCATCTTCAGGAAGTCCCCCTACTTGGGGACAGGGCCTGCACATTCTCCCATGGCTGCCCATGTGTACCTCTCTACCTTATATCACTGGCCTGAGATGCTGAAATGGTCTGTGTATGTACTTGCCTCCCCCACGTGATTGTCTTACTCACCTTTGTGTTCCAGTATCTACCACAATGCCTAGACCAAAATATAAATTGGGGCTCAGTAAACATCTGTTGAACTGATCGTCTAAATTGGCTGTTGTATATGATGATGCTATTTCTTCCTGAAGAAGGTGGTTTTCCTTGGCTCCTGTGATGGGGTAGCTGTCAGGCTGATAGCACCAGGGAACTGACAGGTAGTTCCTGGGCCAGTAGCCTGCATCTTGGAAAGCAGTGTAAATTAGCAAGCCCTCCTGAGTCCTACAGATTCCCAACTTCAGCTTTGCCGTTTACCTAGGTGTATGACCTTGGAGTGTGATTACAAGCCTGTTATTTTTCCATAAAATGGGGAGAAGAATGATATTATACCTTACAGCAAAGTTGTAAGGATCAAATGAGTGAATGTACTTAACATGTTTAGCACAATGAGTAGTACATGTTGTTTTTCAAGAAGTCTGGGCAAGACTGGGGATCTTAGGGGACTGGCTTCCTTTGTCTTCAGGAACTATAGTCCTTCTGGGTTTGCTAGAGATAGCTTTAGGGAGTTGCAGCCATCCTTGGTAATTCACATTTACACGCTCATTCCTTCCACAGTTTGGATGAGTGTCAGGTGTTCGTGTGAGAGGCCCTTCTGCACATTCACTGGCTATAAGGCTGTAGATTGGTCCAGTGCAGAAATTATTCTAAAACTGGGGGATACCGCTTCCTAATTACTACAATGATAAACACAAAGCTCTTACCATGCACCAAGGTCTTCTCTGTAATCCCCACAGCCATCCTATCGTGTAGGTAATACTGCCATCCCCATTTTAGAGATAAGGAAACCAAGGCTAATCTGCACAGGGATACACAGCTGGTAAGAGGGAAGAGTAAAAGATTTGAACCCAGCTCACAGGCTCCAAAACTCTTAGCCAACATGACCTTCACTAACCAAGCACTCTGCTGGCCTTCCTGGGGAAATGGTTTCAGAATCTGGAGGGCTTTGAAGGGTGAAAGGGGAGAAAGAGGACTAAAAAAAATATCCATTATACCCATTGATTTTATAAAAGAAATGCCAGGATGTAGGTAGCTGGTGGGGTTGTAGAAGGCAGAGTGAGAATGCAGGGGAAGGAGAGGAGGCTTCAAAAAGTTGTGAAGTCCTCATGTGCCACTGTTTAGAAACGGTGTAGCTGTGGGAGCAGGAGCCTCTCTGACAGACGCCTGTGCATGGAGGCCTAGAAAACACCAGACACGCAAACTAGGCCTCCTACAAGCTTTCAGTGGAATTCGTATTTCTTGTAGATGTTTTCATTACTTCACACAACTAATTGGGCTCCTGGAGCACATCTGGCTCCCTCAAGGCCACTGCCAATGTTGCAGTTTTCCCCCACAACTCAGCCTCTCTCGCTCAGCATTCAACAGAAAGGAAGTGCTGTCTCTATGGGGCAACTTCTGAGTGTTGCGTATTGGATGTTGTCCTACGTTTTAAGCAATAGTGAGAATAATAAAAGCTGCCTTTACCTCACTCTTCTTTTCTCACAAATACTCACAAATAAGACCCTATTTCCTTTTATTTACAGTCCTCATTTTACAGAAGGGGAAACTGAGGTATAGAACCATTAAGTGACTCCCTTACCACCCCACTCCACCCCAGTGTTGCCGATCACAGTATAG